GGGGGGGGGGGGGGGGCTCAGCAGTGAGCACACCTGGACAGGAGGTGCACTGGTACTCTCAGGGGATATGCATGCACCCCTGTGCACTCCCTATGTATCACCACTGAAAGTTTACCACCCATAGATTGGTTTAAAAATGGTGGAACCTAGCTTAAGATAGACCTGTATGGATGTAGTATTAGAGTTAATCAGTTTAGATTAAACCAGTCTATCAAACTTCTACTCCAGATCCCCTCCCAACTCAAGTTAGATTGCAGTTCCCTGGCATTCCAGGCGTCACTGCAGCTCCCACTAACCCCGCCTCACAGGGCAGGCAAGCCTCCACGTGTGCTAGTCTGCTCCAGCTGAGAAGGGCTGGCCCCAGCTCCACCCCTGGGCTGTCACAGAGCTGAGGAAGCAAAGCCTCTGCTCCCCAGCCCCGTGTCCTGCCTGTGCCTGTCAGAGGAGCAAGGTGGGGGGGGAGAGGGGAAGAGTGGGGGAATGGAGCCCCCCCTCCCCCTCCCCCACAGGCTGGGGTCTGCAGAGATGGGGGCCCTCATGCAGAAGGGCCTTTTCCCTCCCCCTGCTGCTGCCCCTGCCTGGCTGGGTCAGGCTGCACAGCCCCACCCCCTGCAAGTTGCTGCCTCTGAGGAGGGTGGGATGGGGAAGGGGGGAAAACAGAGGCCCCCAGCCACAGCTGCTGGGGGAGGTATGGAGAGGGCTTTCTCCCCACTCCCACTGACTGGCCCAACTTCACACTGCACTGGGCCAGTCAATGAAGGAGGGGACAAAGCCCCTGCTATATGTCCCCCCAGCAGTTGTGGTTGGGTTTGGGGGGTGGCCAGGAGGTGCCTCTGCTGTCTCTTCCCCTAACCCAGCCCCTCTCAGCTGGCAGGCAGTGCGGCTAGAGAATGAAACCATGCTGGGCTAGTCTGCAGGAGAGAGGAAAAAACCTGTCACATGCTGCCTTCCCCTCCCCCCAGGATTTCTGGCTGGGTCGGGAGGGGCCAGGTGGGGGCCTCTACTTCCTTCCCTCCTTCCACCCTCCTGGCCGCCACTGGCAGCTGAGGGAGGAGGGGCTGTGGAGAGATTCTGTGCTGTCCCCCCCACCCAGAACTAACAGCAGGGGGTTGGGGGAATGTTCCCAGTAGCCAATCAGACATGGTCTGCTGATCAGATGCCTTCAGCATATCCAACATGCTGGGAAGCATGTAGGAGTGCTCCCAGCCTCCTGTCCTCAGCCAATTCAGGCATCCCAGTCCCCATCTATCCCCATCCCCTGATGGGAGAATGTGTGTTCTGTTCATTCCTAATCTATTCTTCTCATTTTATAGAAACCCAGAACGGTTTGATTAATTCTGCCTCTGGCTTTCTAAATGTCTATACTTAGCTTAAGTGTTGTGGTTTAGTAATTCCTAAAGCATCCATTTATGATTTATAGCCAGACCCTAGAAACCTATGTCTATGTTTCAATTTTTATTCCACAGAAGTAAGGACTTTTATATTCTGGTCCAATTAAACACCAAGATATTCATAATTAAGTATGAATGATGTATTAAGCATAATCCATATTTTTTTGTGCTTATATACTGCAGGTGTCTGAAAAACCTTTTGACATCACAAGCTATATTTGATGCTGTATCTAGGTGCAGAAGTATGATTTGCAAATGTAAAGAGAAGCCCTTCAATCTGAATTACCTTGGTTTATTCTACAATAGCTAAACTACTTTAACATAGTAAGTAAATTTATCTCTGGAACAACAACAACGAATTTAGTCAGGTTACACCAAAAATTACATTGGCACAATATTTGTATATCAACTGCCATGTAGGAAGGGGAAAGTGAAATATGTACTCCAAGACAAACTCTAAGCATTAGTATTTTTACACAGACTGTAACACTTCCCAATCAAGCATATGAGTTTTGGAAAGACAGAAACCCTAGAAAATGGTGGCATATAAGAGATTCCAATTAAATGCTCACAAATCCAACAATATATAAAACAACACCATTACATTTTTTCCACTGAGGTTAAAACATACAAACCATTCACTCTCTCCTACAAAAGAAACTCTAGGTCTTAATTACTTTAGAATAAATCCTTAAACTCTGTCACTGATGGATGCATCTTAGAGGAACTAAAAAGAGCCAATTTGGCGGAAAAGCACTTCATTCTAAAACTACGGAATTTTAAGTATTGCAATGAAGCTTTAACAATTTTTTTTTTTTCTGTTGGCATACAGGAACCGGATTTTTATGTAAAATAATTGAATCACTATGTCAAAATACACAAAGGGAAGGATTAACAATCCACAAAATCTGTTTTAGTACGTAAGCAATTTCTACTCTCCAAGAAAAGGGTCTGAAAGAAAAAATGTTTCTCCTCTACTTCTTTTTAAAATAAAGGCAAAAAAAATTCTAAAGTAAAGATCCCCATCATCATTAATAAATCCTGACATGTATTATGCTTAATACATAATTTATACCCACTAAAAACCTGCATTTCTTTTGGAAGCTAATATTACCACAGAACAGGTGCATAACATACTAACACTAGAACAGAATTAGAGGGACCCTCTAGATGTGCAGGTAAAGGGCGCAATAGAATCTAATGCACAATCCACACAATCATAAATTAGATCCCATTGTGCCTTATTGCCAGAGCGGGGGGCCTGATTCTGAGAACTCCCAGCATCGGGGATGTGTGAGACCCCCATGGCTGGAAGATGGCAGCTGCTCTGATCTCTCAGTCTGGGGGGGTGTGAAACCTCCAGGACTGGGAGATCACAGCTGCTGTAGCTCCGATGGGGTTATAACCCTTTGCATGCCCCCCTACCCCAAGGCTAGTAGAACATGGCAGCCATGATCTCCCAACCCTGGGAGCCGCAAGCACTGCTGAGGCTGGAAGATCACAGCTGCAACCCACAGGTGCTGGGACCCAGCTGGACTCCCAGCCTCAGGTGGACATGGTGCACCCCTGCAGCTGAGAGCCCCATTGCATGATGGGACTCCCAGCTGCTTGGGAGACCCTGCTACACATGCAAATTAAAGCTCAACAGAACCAGCTATAAAGTCAATATACATTTTTGAGGTCTAACTTGATAGCTGGTTGGATTTTTTTATGGCACGACAGCAACTTTGCACATGTAGCTGGTCTCAACATAACTACACAATTAACCAGTTAATTGCATGATACTTGTAATGTGTAGAGGGGGCCAAGAGGCACCAGCACATGCACTTTCGACATACTCAGAATACAAATAATTCAATAACCAACTGCCATCCGTGTCCATTATCTATATGGAAATTCCTTATGAGAGTAAGGTACTTCAAAAGTGACTTGGGTACAGCAGAAAGTCCCTTACCTTGAAAAGACTGTTTGGCTCTGTCCACTAGCTCTTCAACTGGATAACTTGCTAGGTCTCCTCGGGCATGCTTCGTTTTACAATATGTACATGAATTTAGACATCTGTGGAAAAGTTTAAAATATATTCATTTTGTGCAAAAAGTCTCAATAAACAATTTTATCAGGACCCTTCCCCCAAAAAATGCAACTTTTATATTTAGAAACGAAGAGTACTACCACAGAACGTGGTAGATAGGGCTGTAGCCTTTGAATTAGAACTCCTAAAGCCTCAGAATGCTGAAAGTTGCAATGAGAACAGGGGTAGAAGACACGCAGACACTGATGGAGCTGGCTGTGGCAAAAGGGTGCTTCAGTGAGGCGGCTGCCTGCCGGCTAGACTTGCACTGGAGCACTCTCATGCCTCAGCCAGCTCCTCTGCAGCACGTTGAGCCAGGCTAGAGCAGCTCTGCGCTGGCAAGCTGAGCTTCAGGGCCCCTAACAGCATGTGTCACAGTCTTGGGTACAGGTTCAAATACAGCATCTGGGAGCAATAAATTCTGGCATGGTATGCAACAGAGTTTATTGTTGTTCATTAATAGCACATGTAGATGTACCCCCTGGTAATAACGAGAGAACATTTAGCAGAAAAACTTTAATATGAATATATTCAGGGTTCTGAGTTTAAAAAAAAGACAAATACATGTGAATCTTAGGACTAAGCCACAAATTTTCAGGCTTCTAGTTTTGAAACTAAAAACGAGTTCCATAAACTCAACTGCAAATCTGTCATCTCTTAAAATATTCAGATACTCATCTGAGCCCTAACAAAATTTAGGTAAGAATTTACTATGACAGATTCTTACCATAAAACTTCAATTCATTTTCTACACTTTAGAAATCTTGAAAAAAACATTTGGGTTTCTTTCTCCTCTCCTGTGTCTCAACAATATTAAACGTATCAAATACGGGGGACAGAACCATTAACTGGGAAGAGAGTTTGGCACAAGGGTTCGAGGACTTAAGAAAACCTCCCATAACTAACTGGAACAACTTGAATGATTTAAATTTATCTGACAGCATATGAAAGCTAGATTAGTTCCTTGCAGAAAGGATGGAAGGATCATAAAATGCTCACTGTTAAGCTTTTCTTGGATTAGTTGTTGGTTCTTGGTAGTGCCATGCACACAGTAAGCAGAATACAAACAGCAGCTTTTTTAAAGCTGACTTTTGCCCTATGTCCTTTTTGTACGTTTGAGTATCAAGATTTTAGAAAACAAAAACAAATGTTCATCTTGTTCTTGGTTATAAAAAGATTTTAAGTCATGTTTGTTATCACAAGCACAAAGCTATAGTTTCATCATAATGAAACATTTGAATGCCAGAAAAAAAAAGCTTTAACTACAAGAACCTAAATATAAACAGCATGTTGCACAATCAAGTAGTGACATGTAGTAAGGCCCACAACACTTTTGAAACATACCAATAAAGACATCAAACTACAATGTGCCCAGGTGGTAACTACAATCATGTGTTGCCATTCAATAGATTGCCTTGCAGCCTCACGACTGGGCAACTGCTGCTCAGAAAATCCATCAAAGCTTTTTCATTACAAAAGTTCCCACAATAAAATGGTATCCCTTGCCTGCACAGCAACAGGTAGGAGGAAAACTGAAGTCAACTGATAGCTCTAATGGGCATCCAGGCATGGAATGGGTTTCCCCACTTCACCATCTACTCCATTCTTATGAACATTTTATGCTGAAACAGTCTCTAGCAGCTTAAGCTTACTGCATCTTACTTTTTTCTTACTTATTCTAATCACTTCCTCTTTCACTATTGCAACTGCCAAGGAAGGAGACATCCAGCAACTCTTTATTTCTACTGCTCGACTGCTGACCTCAAGATACGTATTGTTTCAATTAGGTATATCATTATTCACGCTTATCAGAACCTGAAGAAAAGGACTAGGAAGACGTATTCTTTAAGACTATATCTTCAGAACCAAAAGAATATTAGTGTTATAAAGCTACATTAAAATAACAAGGCACAAGTCATTATAAACAAAAAATAGAAAGTTTGGTTTTGTATTTTTTAATAAAACATATTTTGTGTGTTTAGAATTTTTATTTTATGTTAGCTAATGCAAGATCCGACAGGTAAGCTATGAATTAAAACCTAGATATCAAACCTGTTGCAAAGGGAGACAGATGGTTTGAGAGACGAGGAATATCTCATCTTGTGGGTTTTGTCTGTTATTGTATACCACTATGAGCCTTTCTGGATTTGGTGGGATATAAGCCTAAATAATCACCAGCAAGCCATGGCTGGCTCAGGACAGCATAGAAGAATGGACAGAAAAAGAAAGGTGAGGCTAAGGAGGCAGGTTGGCATGTACCAGAGTGCCTCAAGACAAGCATATTTATTTAAACATTCTTTTGGTCAAAATACTACATCATTTACTTCAGCCCTCAGTTATAGATATTACCATCTACTAAGAACTGCAAATGACAAAGCACTTCTCTTTCTCAAGTTATTCTTGAAGAAAAGGATAATTTAAGAGCTGGAAAACAAACAGGTACATTTTAGGGATGTGAAAGGTTTAGCAAATAATTGTTTAACCAGTAAGTGCAGTGATAACAAGTTAGCTTACCAGTTATCCTTCAGTTCAGGGTAGGTACAGTCTGGCACGGAAGGTGGGGGTGAGGGGGGGGAAAAGGGAAAGGGAAGCTGTGCAGTGCCCCAGCAGAAATCAGAAAGCAGCAGGGTGACCAAGAAAGAGGAGGGAGGGGAGGGGAGGGGAGAGGGGCAAGGGGGACTAGTACCCAAAGCCTAAGAAGAAAACAGGGCCTAATGGCCAAGGATCCAGGTTTTCCATTTACCACAGAAAAACGGGGATTTTCCCCTTTAAAGGGGAAACTAGGCCTGTTCAAAGTGGCTAGTATTTAATTCGGATTCAGATTTGGCCGATTCAGGAGACAGTGATTCAATTCAGTGATTCGAACCACTATCCCGAATCGATTCAGCCTAATCTGATTCAAAGATCTGGCTGCTGCCAAATCGGCCAAATCTCTGACTCAAACAGGCTCCATCCTCCGCCCACTCTCGCAGCCCTGTCAGTGGCTGTCCTGCCCGTCCCCAGTGTCCCAGCTATTTAAAAAAAAAAAGCCCCGCACTCACCGGCACCTGCCAGGCCGGGGGGGGGGGCACCCCACTGCCAGTCACTGTGTGGTGGGGCTGTGCCATAAGCCCCCTTTCCCTGATCTTTCTCTTGGAGCAGTCATTTTTACCCTGGGAGAAAAGGCCCAACATTTGTCAGGCCTTGGTTTCCTCTGGGACAGCAGCACCTCTTCCAGAAGAAACTGAAAAGGGCTCTCCTCCACAGGGCTATGCAGGCATTCGAAGCTGGGCAGTAGCTAAGCAGCTGTTTGTGGCGGGGGGGGTGGGGGGTTTTTTTTTTTTTTTTTTTTTTTTTTTTTTTTTTTTAAGAGCCAGGAGCTGGGGCCAGGTGGGGCAGCCATGCAGGGGGCTGGGAGAGCGGGCAGGAGAGGGGGACTCATGGCAGAGCCTCTCATGCAGTACAGGACAGTGGGAATCATCCCACCCTGCCTGGCAGCAGCTGGTGAATGCAGGGCTTTTTATTTTATTTAAGAGCTGGGGCTGGGTGGGGCAGCCATTGACGGGACTGGGACAGCGGGCAGGGGATGCTCAGGGTGGCTGTGGATGGGGCTGGCGGGGGTCCCCCCATGGTTCCCTCCCCCCTCCTCCATCCCACCCCCCCTACCCTCTACTTATCGGCATGGAGTCAGAGTCCAGCTCCCTGTGGCAGTGAGTGGGGATTGCCCGAATCTCAAAAGCTCTCCAAATCTTTTCTGAATCAATACAGAGAACCTTGAATCAATTCAGACCTTTTTATTAGTCTTCCAATTTGATTCGGATTCAGAGATTTGACTGCTGAATCTGGCTGAATCTCCTCTTAATCGAATCAGCACCTGAAGCTTCTCCCAGCCCTAAAGGAAACCGCAGGAAACTTGTGGATTTCCCCTTACAGGCTGACAACTTTACAGCCTGCAAAGGGGCTGCTTGGGGCGAGGGAGAGCAGGGGGGAGGGCGACTGGAGGCAGGGAGCACCACATGCATCTGCGCACATGGCCGGCATACAGCAAGGCGTGTGGGAGTAGCCCCAGCAGCTGGATACAGGTAAGTGGGGGTTGGAGTGCCAGGGCTTGGGGACTGTCCGGGGGTGAAAGGGTGTTTGTGCAACAAAGCAGTGGGGGTGACAGTGGCAGAGGGACCCACATTTTGGTGAATGAAGGGGGTAGGAGGAGTTCTGGTTTTCCATGATAAAAAAAGCCAAAAGCACACACCAAAATATATAAGTATTTAGAATTTATTTTATTATAATGATTGAGGCACTGGTAGGCTTCCAAATTGCTTTAAAATTGTGAATATATCAATAAAACATTGTGTTCAACTGACATGTGTGTGCATGTATGTACACACACACACACACACACACACACAGATATAATTGGAGAAAGTTTAACAAATGTTTTAAACAATCTTTATGTACCTTACACGTGTGTATGTCTGATTATGTAGATAGGATAGAACAAATAAAAGGCTTTTAAGTAAAATATGAACAATAAATTAGACCAAGCTATTAACTTACCTCAAATAAGTACCATATTGACTCATACCAATTATAAGACAATTCTCCAATAATTAGATTCTATTTATGGAAAAATTACAAATTTCTTATCATTTTCCAGGTATAGAACCTAATTATTGGAAGTCTACCTTGAATTGATCCCCCTCCCACTGCTACAGCAGGCAAAATAAATCTGTAGGATCAAGTAGCCCTTTGCTCTCTACTTCCCCCCCACAACTTTTTCCCCAGGCAAACCCTTTCCCCTTCCCCTTACTGTGAGACCCTGCTCTCCCTAAGCACATGGAAGTGAGGAGCAAGTTTGAAATTAAACCTTGAAATTAAACACAGCTGTAGCAATCTGCATAGTACCCATAGATTTTATTCATCCAGAATTGATGCATGTTACTTTTTTTTTTTTTTAAACTGCTGCAAGTTTTAACACAGGGAGTCCATTAACACACTTTGGCAATCTAGT